AAATTATGTATTTATATATGCGCATGTCATCTCCACCACCTCTTCTTCCGCCTATCCACTTTAAAAGTTTTCTGTTCCATTAAAACAAATCATCACAGAAGATACAGCTTTCATCATCGGCCCAAGTATTCATTTTATTTATTTTATTAATTTACATATTTTAAGTGATAATTCCGAACGAAAAAAACTTGTTATAACTCCAAAACGAATCCACAACCATGACAACAAGTTTATCTTCTAAAATCCAACTAACCAAAATTCTCTCTTCTCTCTACTTTTCTTCTTGTCGGTGAATTTGGATTTTTCTCTCATCCATCATCATAACACCACCTGCAATCTCCTCCTCTCTCTCTCTCCTGCTCCGACATATTTATTCTTCTGTCATATCGTCTCTCTCTCTCGACGTAAAATCCAGATCGAAACAGTTCTCAAAAACCCACCTCGAAAGTCTCTCTCTTTGGAGGGTTTTACGATCCTCCATGGACGGCGGCGGAGCAGCTGACGTGGCAACCGCCGGAACGACCAGGAAGAGAGAGAGGCCTTACAAGGGGATAAGGATGAGGAAGTGGGGCAAATGGGTTGCGGAGATTCGAGAGCCCAACAAGCGCTCGAGGTTATGGCTCGGCTCTTACTCCACGCCGGAAGCGGCGGCGCGAGCTTACGACACGGCGGTTTTCTATCTTAGAGGACCAACCGCGAGGCTAAACTTTCCGGAGCTTCTTCCCGGAGATAATTTCAGCGAGGAAGACATGTCGGCTGCGACGATTCGGAAAAAAGCGACGGAGGTTGGTGCTCAGGTAGATGCTTTAGGCACGGCGGTGCTAAATAACCGCCACCGTGTTTTTGGTCAGAGTCGAGAGAGTGATGATGAAAACAAGAATTTCCATCGGAATTATCAAAACGGTGAGCGAGAAGAAGAAGAAGATGACGACGACGACAAGAAGTTGAAGAGTGGCGGCTGGTTATTGGATCGGGTTGACTTGAATAAGTTACCCGACCCGGAAAGCTCCGATGAAGATTGGGAAAGCAAATGAAAAGTAAAAAAAATATACTCCAAAAGTATTTGATATTTTGGAGCGGTGGCTGTTGCTAACGTACACCTCAGCCTACTTCTGCGAATTCGTAGCGCCGTTTATGATTTTTTCTTTTTATTTGCATTATCTGAAAATTTTAGGGCGTTTAGCTATTAAATTTTGTTTTCAGTTTTTGTCTTTATCACGTGTTTGCGGTTTATGGAATTTTAGGCTATTGCTTAAAAAATGCAAAATGTATATTACTCATTAATGAAATTCTCCCTATTTCCTCCAATCATTAATTTGTCTACTTTACTTCATTTAGTTGTTTAAGAGGCATATTCCCCAATAATGTTTGTCTAATTTGTATTTAAAATATTTATAAAAAAAATCTCAAAATTTATAACGATTTTTCGAAATACTATGATGCTATTTTCGACTGCCCTCCCTTCTTAATTTGAATGTTAGGGATATTGTTAGGGAGAATAAACCGAAGGGATAGATGAGATATGAAATTGAATAATAATAACGGGACAAAGTATGACCTACATGCAAATCATATAAAAGCAACTTGACATTGTCTATCTTTGTTAATTACGTCCACAATATTTGTTTTCTGTTAATTCATAAAGTTATTGTATACATATGTAATGCATATATGGATAAGATTTCGGGTCGTCGGGGACTTGGTGTGTTTTGTTTTTGTCTTCTGCTCCATTTCTATTTGTTCTGTGGGTACCATTTAGATTTTATATGCTCTATCTTTTTCAAGTTCTATTATTACAAATTATTATTATTGTTGCCTTTATTTTTAGATCTATCTCTATATAGTAGGAGCTTAAAAATTTCCTTCACCGTGCGTTTTATAATATTTCTTATTTACGTGCGACTGACAATGAAGTCAGTTGTATTATTATCATATTATGTATTGCATTCTCTATTTTCTTTTCATAATTCCTAGAGGATCGACCGTGTTGGGAGTTTTAATTATGAGAATGATTTTTCTTGGGGGAAATTAAAGAAAACTATAATTCTATTGCACGAATTATACTAGCACTTCTGTTGTTTATGTTTGTCATTATTATCAAGAGTAATAATTAGCAAGGAACGCATACATCCATACATATTCAGGTAAATGACAAAACTTAAGGCTGTGATCGGAACAGAAACCAGCAATATAATAGCGATGAAATACAGTATTGGTCAAAAACATAACGTTTTACTTTTCAACATAAACACTTATCATAAACACTGTTGCGATCTCTGTTAATACTTAATACTCTATTATTAAAGAGGAAGGAAATGCGAAGATACCAAAATAAGAAAGAGTACATGTGTATGAGTCCAAAACAAGATTGGCAAAAGTGGAGCTTTTGATTTGATATCTGATGGGCCTCCCTTTTTTATTCTGTTCGTGTAGTAATTTTGTTCACAAAAAGTGTTTCTGAACCGGACCAAAATTAAAGTTTGGTAATGTCGATTTTATGTCTTATAGCTCTCATAATAAGCGAGGTAGTTTTCTTGAGTTTGATTTTCTACTGATTAAAATTGATATAAATAAAATCCAACCGACCATAGTACTGTAGTTGCACCCTAATCACGAATCTGACCAAGGCGAATTCAGTACACGGTTCGATAAATCAATTTAAAATCAATATTGACACAAGTCCACATCTGCTCCCAACTCCCTGTCTGATCCTTGTTTCTCGTTGTCATTATCTCGATGGAGTTTTCTCAAAATTGTGAATTATCTGAACCAAAATCAAATCAAAATACGAAACTCCGATTCATAAACTGGTATCCAAACTTAAGATCAAGAAACTATATATTTAAATGAATCAACATCTTGTTGTTACTGTTTGATTTTCTTGAGACAAAATGATAGGTTTTGTTAAATTTTAGCAATTGTTTCTTTTATAGAAAAATGGAAAAGAGATGTATGTATCACACCAATAAATCACCTTAGTAATGTAGGAACTATAAGACGAGATAGTCGACAACAAGTTCACATTATAATTGCCGGAAATATACATTTCTTGCTATATAAAGAAGCAATGTGTGAAGTCACAAATCATATCTCATTCATTTCACAAATATCATCGAAAGCACAAAATACGTCAGAGCTATCTCGTTGCCTTCTCATTTCTTTCATTTATACGTCAGAGCTATGTCCTGATTAGTCTGATAAGATGTTTAACAGGACACAAAACCAGGATATTCACTGCGTTCATAAAATGATGGGCCGTACATCACATTAAACCCATAAAAAGTGTAATCGTTACCGATTATTGGGTTTGATATAAGGCGTAGGAAAGTTCTGTTTGGGAAGCCTAATCCGGCCCATGAGAACATTGTTTTTTTTTTCCGTGTGTCGGCAGTCAAGGTGATAGCTATATCGTACCAGTCGATTTCTTGCGCGATGCCTTTATACTATTTTAGTATGTACTACTTGCAAATCGGGTTGGGTGCATTGGTCGAATAAAACCAAGAAAATAATTTATTTATAGAAAGTTTCTCGAATAAGAATATCAAAACACCTTGGCTTCAACGCTCCCATCAGTTTCTTGAATTCCAATTCGAGGCAAAGTTTTCAAAACCGTTGGCTCCTAATCCTAGCTTTTCTATTATCTACTTATATCACAATGCCCGGAGTCGTCTTTTTATCAATCTAAGCGATTGATTAGATTATTATTAAAATACACTTTATAGATGTGTGAAAAATTATTTGAAAAGATAAAAAGGTAAATATTCAAATTTTGCCCTGATATTTGGTACAGTACTTTTATATAACGCACACCAATCAACTACAGTGATATATATCAACCAATGATGATGATTCGAATAGTATATACTGTATGTTTGTAGCACTTTAAAAAATTGAAACAAAGAGAAACGTAAAATTCGTAAATTTATTGTTCACGTGAGTCACGTTGCATAGCGATATGCTTCCGTGATCTTAATGAAAAGTGGAGCCCACATATTTGAACTGTCTAGATTCACCGACAGTACGAGGATGATTTATCGACACCGTCCGATGTTTCCAAGCTGTCATCGTATTTAGAAAAAAGAAAACAATTTAATAAACAACAATTTTTCTAATTTGAGATGATTGTGCCGACACGCTTTTGGTTTTACTGTTGTGTCAAATATATTCCCTCCGATTTCACAATGTATATGTTTTAGATATTTTGCTTATTTCACAATGTTTTAGAATGTTTAAGGTACTTTTAGTCAATTAATGCTAATAAAATTACAAATTTCAAGAACTATTTATTATAAGTAGTTGAATTCTTGAACTTCTATTGGTTCGAATTTATTAAAAAGTGATTTGTGTAAGAAAACTTTGTATTAATTGTTAAACAATAAATGTTTCTTAAATTGTGTGAAAACTCTAAAACATCATACATTGTGAAACCGAGGAAATATTAAATTTTGTACGAAGTTATAAATTTATAATTATACTATTGAAAAGTTTCATACAAAGCCACGTTTTTCATGTACTACGAAATCTAAAAACTCTCCAAATCCTGATTAATTAAATTTAACTGAAATCAATATCTAATCACTGTTGTCTGGTCCAAAACTGACCATACATAGATGATATCGATAGGGTTGAATGTAGGATCTGGACAAGCACTTCCACAACGAAAACGTTATGAACTCAGATAAGACTAGTGTCGAATCATGAGGAAACATCAAATATCTTTATTATTCAAAATGCTAATAATATAGTCAATCATAGACTCATAGTAAACTTCATAATGAAAAGATTTGTACTAGTATAATTTTTTCTCTCTCTCTTTTTTTTTTAATCAGTAAATTACCATAGGTTTGTTAAATGAGCGTGAAATTCAATTTTTAGAAAAAACTTGAACATACATGTAATCTTGATTGATACCCGTTGTAAATATGTGCTAATCAATGATTAATTTTTGGTGATATACATATCAGAGCCGTCCTGAGTTATGAGTGGCCGCAAGCTAGTTTTTAAAAAGGGCTGCTTAGTTTGTCTAGGAGATTTGAACTCAGAACCTCAATACTAATAAGACAGCAACGTAACCACTAGACTAAGAGAAACCTTTGGAAATATAGGCCGAATTATTGTATATAAAAAGAAGGGTCGCAACCATTCTTAACCTTTGGCCAAGCAGCCACTGACCCCGATTGTCCACTCTCGATTCCTGATAACAAAACGCAGACTTAGACTTAGACAACATTCGCAACCTATAAAAAAGCCTCCTTTCTAATGTGGAAATAGATTTCACAGAGCTAGTGATTCGTTATATCCTATATTACAAAGCTTACACACAAACTGAAACTAACCTTTTCACGACATTTCTTCTTCTCATCTTTGGCATTCTTATCGTCAGTTTCATCTTCAAGCAGTAAAGATTCAACAATATCTTCTCCAAAGTCCTCAAGTTCATCATCACCAGGGCCAAACTCCCCATTGCCTTCCTTCTTTCCCTTACTCAACTGCCCTGCTTCTTCTTTATATTGACCTCCACCACGAGCTTCCTTGTTCAACATCGAGAACGAATCCTCAGCATCAGCTGCGGAAACAGAATGTAGATTTGTACTCATAGGTGGTCCAGGATGATCAATCTGTTGACCAAGATTGAACCTGCTCTCGTTCTGGATAGATAATCTCCTTAATCTATCATCCTCAGCACTTAAATCAACACTTCTCTGAAAATTACCAATCACTCTATCACCATCCTTACTTCCCAAATCCCTATCCCATCCCCGTTGGTTACTCGAGAATCCAGGAGGAGGAGGAGTAGGATTAGACTTGACACCCCTGCCGTTATTCCCAATGGGACCCCAGTTTCCTCTTCCGGCGAAACCTCCTCTGTGTTCATGGTGGTTCCGAAGATGAGGCAAGTTTGGATCCGTGATCGAATTCGGCACAACGGATTGGGGATTTCTCATATTGGCAGAGCTCAGATTAGAATCATACTTCAAGTTCCCATTAAGTAACCCATTGAGGCTTTGAGCAGCATCTCCGGAGAAAGACCCAAAAACAAGCTTCCGGTTCTCTGATTGCGGCGGCGGCGGAGGCTGCGGATGTACCATCGACGGCATTGCGTGATTTCCAGTTCCAGTAAGCCCAATTGCGTGGTTTCCAGCTCCAGCAAGCCCTAATCTATAAGCATCTTCCGCGGACACTCTTTGATTACCGTCGAATTGGTTCGTGAGGAAAGGGTTAAGCGGGAATTGAGAAAACCCTAACAGATTGGGTGAGAGATTAGGAGGTGAAAAGGCGAGGGGCCAAGGAGGAGTATGCGTACCCGGTCGATCACGACCGTTGGACGGCCAATTCGACGGAGGAAAGTCATTCACGGTGGGACCAACTGCTGCAATGGCCGGATCGAGAGCGTATGACTGAGACTGATGCTCGGGTCTGTTGTTCTGCTGGTACGGTCTTCTATGCAAAAGCGACAACAGAAACTCTCCGCCGTTTTCCGAAGGTGGAGCTGGAGAGTCAGCCCCACCGTCCGCCATGGAGTATAGAGAAATAAGTTATTAGCGAGGAGGTGGAAACACTTTGAGGAAGACGAAGTTCTCTCAATGTTGAATGACCCGATCTCTTAAAGGTGACGATCTCATGTGTATTTTTATATATTCATCCTATGGCCCACACATGATATATTGACCGTTCGATGTTATAATTTTTTCACAAGTTTGACTTAAAAAATCGAAATACTAGGTTTAATTTTGATTAGAAAGATTTAAAAGTGTAATCTTAGATTTTGATTGGTAGACACTGTCATTCAAATAACGGAAAATACGAAATTATGGAATAGTTAAATTATTAAAGCAGAAAAAAACAATATTTACATATTTAACATTTTTTTTTTGGCAATACATTTGCAGAAGATCATAACAATGTTCAATGTAATTAACGACGACGAAGTATCGTTAGTTGATAAAATCTCTGATCATATTAAGAAGAGCGACGGCTCGCCGTGGATCAACGAGCTCGATTCCATGGAAGCCGGCATCGTCAAACCGTGCTTCAACCTTTACTCCAGCCGTAACCAGCAAATTCACGAAGTCTTGTTGCCGATCAACCTCCGTGTCTCCGCCGTAACCGATGACCAGACACCGTCCCAAACGCCCCACTTTCTCCTTCTGCGGCAAATAACCCAGCGGATTACAGTACCTGTGATCCCGATCAACGCCTTTCGGCAAAGACAACTCCCACATTGCGTCGATCGCCGGCACCGGCATCACCGGATCGGCGAAATTCTTGATCTCCGATTTCGTCCTCGTTTTGCCGCCGAACAACGGCTGATAAAACACGAAGCCGTCGATTTTCAACGGCGTTAAATCGTGGTCCAGCGATTTCAGCGCTAATTGGAATGCGATGTTAGCGCCGTTACTCGAGCCGCAGATGTAGCACCGTGAGAAATCGGCGTAGTCCTTAAGCCAAGGCTCTCCGTTAGTTGAGTCAACGGACTGTTGTTTGACCCAGAGCAGAGCGTCTAATGCGTCGTCGTATTGAGCTGGGATTCTATGCTCTGGAGCTAAACGGTAGTTAACGGAGACGATTATCACCGTTAATTCGCTCGCCATCTGAGAGCAGCCGCGGTTGTTCGCCGGGGAGTTGGCTGGGTAGAGAATCCAACCAGAGCCGTGGAGATGGAGGATGATCGGGAGACGAGCGACGGCGTTGTCGTTGGAAGGGAGATTGGTTGGTCGGTAAATCCGTACCGCTAAACCGGTCTCTTGGTTAATGGTGACGTCTTTGGAGGCGGCGAGCTTTCCCGGTGATGGTTCCGGGTCTGGATTAACCATCGGGTAAACGAAGTGGCGCGTGCATGAGCCATTTGGGTTGATTGTGATGTTGAGGTGTTTGTATGGATCAAATGATGGACGAGTGTCACCACTTGACATGGTTTTTATTTTTAACTGCGTGATCAATGGTTTATTAACGGTAAACTTTGATTACGAAGCAATGTTGGGAGTTCTTTTGTTTTATTTTGTTGTTGTTGTGTGTGTATTTTTGTTTGTTAAATGGAGCTTAAGATGTGATTAGGATGAATGCACGGACTAATTTGTGGTCATTATTTTTTCGCATTTTAACGATGTTGACTAATTCAAGAATGTTTTGATATCGTGTCTAAATGAGGAATCGTGTTTTACATTTGCTTGTGTGTTTGGCTGAACAACAGTCCTCCCAACTAAATTAGATGAAACTTTGATTCAAATAACTAAATAGCTACAAAATGACAATCTATTTCTCTATAAGTTGCATGTACGTAGGTGGTGAAACCGTGAAACTATGGTTAAAAGTTGGACACATAATTAAGTTCCAATAATGTAATTTGTTCACCATAAATATTAGTAGGATTTTAAAGATGTAACGTTTTGATGGCGAGTATCATAAATTTACATGTTTGCTGATCAAACGTAGATCACTAATGGATGATTAGACACGTTCACTGTTATCATCTAATCGGGTTTTACATTTGGATAGACACAAAGCAGCAGCATGCAGTACATTTTTAGGCCACACATCATAAACCTGAAATATTTAGAACTCCAATCGAGTGAAAACAGTGAGAACTACATATTAATTGCAGGAATTATTGATTATTAGCTAGATAAAAGCATAAAATATTTCAGATCGGACCACTACTACATGTTGGACGATGTAACAGTTGGTGTTGTTGTCGAAGAAAGACTCTTCATGAAGGCCTCAACAGTGTCGTATAAAGCCTTGGCTTTGGTCGGATCAAACAACTCACATGCGTGAAACCCATCTTTGTCAAACTTCGTCTCCACGTGGACTCCACGTGCCTTGAGCATGTCCGCCACGTGTCTCTGTCGATCAACCAACGGATCGCCACCGTAACCGTTAATGAGAGTCGCCGGGAAACGTCCCATCTTCTCAATCTCCTGGGGCCCACTACTCTTGATCGGGTTGCTGTACACGTGGTCGCGATCTACGCCCTCCGGCAAACAAAGCGACCAGAGCAAGTGAGTAGCTGTTAACGGACAGATCCGATCGTCTTTAAGACGTGACTCCGAATCCGACGGCTCAACGCCACCGAAGAAAGCTTGGTTCATTATCAGCCCTTGGATCTTCAACGGAGAGAGATCAGTGTCGACGACACGCAGCGCGACGCTGTAGACGATGTTTCCTCCAGAGCTCGAACCCATCACGAAGCATTTGGAGAAGTCGACGCCGTCTTTCAACCACGGGTCGCAGTCGCCGCCGCTGGTAGCGCCACGAGCTTGATCGCGGAGCCACAAGATTGCTTCGACGCCGTCGTCGTACGCCGCCGGGAGACGGTGTTCCGGAGCTAGACGGTAGTCGACAGAGAGGATCACGGTTTGAAGACGATCGGCCATTTTGCTGCATGATTCATGGAAAGGAGCAGAGGCGGCGCCGTAGAGGATAAATCCGCCGCCGTGGTAGTAAACGAGGATCGGGAGTTTGGTTTCCGGTGGAACATTCCGGGGCTTGAAGATTCGGATAAAGGTTTTGGTGGTTGGGTTTAATGGGATGTCTTTGGATTGCTCCGTTGGGGGCAGTTTGGGAAAATCACGGTGTCTCGTGAGAGACCCATCTGAGTTAAGTGAAATGTTGAGGAACTTGTATGGATCGCTTGAAGGTGGTGGAGCTTCCATGGATGGCTTCAAAGAGATATGTTTCTGTGGTGAAATGTGTTAATATGAAGAAGAATTGTGAAATGAAGGTTGAAAAGATCAACGTTTTCATTTAAAGGTGGGGACTTTTTCATTCAAAGTTGCAGTTGGGTTTGCCTGAAGAATCGTGTGGAATTAGCAAATATCTCTCCATTAATAGTGGCTTAGATGAGACTGTGTACAAATGTACTGTCGATTAGATTGACACCAGTCTTAGATGCAAACCTAACATAACGGCTAAGATATTTCTTTACCACATACAGATGCGTTACATTTTTGTTCTTGACGTCAATTGGAATTTTATATTGTCCAAATTAAGATGTTAAGTATTTGCAAGAATCTAATGTTACGGAATCAAACAGTTTCTACAACTTGCAAATTTAAGGTTTTTAAACTAGACAATCTACTACGCTTGACTGAGCTTAAAACCAAACCGGAGCTTCACCGTGCTTTCTTCCTTGACTTAAACGGAAAACCCATAGGCGGCGACGGTGAAAACTCAAACGGCAAATGTGGTGGCTCAGCCGCACCTGAAAGCATCTGAACAATCTCCTTCATCGTCGGTCTCTTAACCGGAGATCTTTGCAGACACAACAATGCAATAGTAATACAAAGAACCGCTTGCTCTTTCTCCAAAGAATGAATAGATTTATCAACCAACTCCAACAATTTACCATTGCAAGCCAATTGCTTAGCCCATGATATCAAATTAGCCCTCTCAAACTCCGACATAGGCGATGCAGTCACCTGCAACGGCCGTCTCCCGGAGACAAGAACCAAAAGCAGAACACCAAAACTATACACATCGCATTTCTCAGACAAGACACCTCCACCGCCACATTCCGGTGCAATGTAACACACCGTACCTCTCATACTCGGCGTGCTGCTTACTCCACCGCTCTTCTGAACATTCACATCACACCACAAACCAGAATCTTGACTGTTTTTCTTACCAATGACTGATTTTAGCTCTCCGCTTAACCCATCCACCCACCAATCTATACTGTTCCTCTTCTTCCTCTTGCAAGGGTTATGACTCTGATCATGAACAGAGGCGGCATCATCACCATCGTCTCTGTGAAACCAAGAGTCAATACTTGAGATTGAGCTTAACCCTCTTTTCTTCTTCTTCTTCTTCTTTTTCCTCTTCTTTCTAGTGAGCTCCTCGCAAAACTCTTCCTTCCACCACTCTCTAGGCTTTCTCTTCTTCTCTTTCTTCTTCTTCTTAGTGACTGATGATGACCCATCACCATTTTTCACCCACTCCTTGTTGTTATCACTCTCTTTCTTAATCTCACTCCCGATCCATTCCATGACGTAATCCTTCACACTCCCTGACTCAATCCCTCCTCTGCTTCCGCCATTGTTGTCCTGCTTCCACCACCAATCTCTCCTCGAACCCACTTTCTGCTTACTACTACTCTCCACACTCATCTGCTCCAAACAGCTCTCCGAAACACTCCCTTTCTCCAAACCCACTTCCGGAGACAACCCCGTCACTGCTCCCGAAGACGCTGTCAGGACGCTAACCGCACAAGTCTCCGGCGAAAGCACCGATCCCGCCCCCGGAGACGCTCCAGTCTCCGGCGAGAGATTCACAGCGTTACCATCTTCAAACACAGTAATCACGCTCTCCGTCTCCTCCAGAATCGACCCATTATCATCACCAACGTCAATTCTCTTCTCCTCTTCCTCAATCAGAATCCTAGTATCGTTGCCACTAACTAAATCGTCCGACTTTACCCTCGCGAGACCGAAATCTCCGATTTTGGCTTTGAAATCAGAATCGAGAAGGATGTTACTAGGCTTAATATCACCGTGGATGATGGGCGGATCGCAACAGCTGT